TAACGTCGACTCGAGTTGCGAGTATCTTTAACTACTCGACTGGATTGTGGAGTATTGCCAACTACTTGAGTAATTACTCAACAGTGGAGTACTCGCCCACCCCTAGTCATTTGACAATGGAGCAGACACTCACACATGAACCATAAAGTGAATGATTGTGCTTTGAGAGCATCACTAGGACCTTACAATAAAACTATGATTTTCCTATGACAATACTCATTGGCCATCTTCGCTCTTACCTGAGACAATATTGGATTGGTCGGACCTGGAGGTGCCACAACGACCACTGACAATTTCCATGGGAAAGCAAACGGCAAAGGTGACGCAAATGTCCCGATCTTAAAGAGCTTCAAGTTCCGAATGACGATGTGCTCCATTGGTTACCAGAACTACCTGTAAAGAGATGTTTATCCATTTTGTCTATTTCACAGGCATAATAAACTACAATGGTTGTCTTTTAGGTTTTTTATATTACTTTAGAGTAGGTCTTTGGGTTGATGTGTTGATGACTCTTGTCTAGTAGGTCTACTAGCCATGATACCATAAACCTAAACCAAACGATTTCTTTTAAATCAGCTGTGGTTAAATTAAACATACTTGTTTACAAACTAATCAGCTGATTTTATTTTGTCTGAAGACCAAATAAAATCAGCTGATTAGTTGTAAACAAGTATGTTTAATTTAACCACAGCTGATTTAAAAGAAATAGGTTGTTTAGTGTGAATTTTATAAACAGTAAATAGGTGTGCAATTTTTAAGCCATCCTAATGATTGATAATTTATAAAAAAAATGACACTTGGGGTTATGTAATATTTTATTACTGTTTGAAATAATCTAAAATCGTTTAAAAATAACTTGCAAAGCGGACGCAGACAGTTGCATTGTTGTGGCAGACTTAGGCCGCATGCCTTCACATGCACTACATCTAACCTCCAGCGGTCACGTATTACTAAAGCTGCCATAACTTGAATGAAGTTAATATTCATCCAATCTAAAAGGTTAAGGTGTCAAACGATTTGTAATTAAATTATCTTAAAAAAGTTATTCTTGTAAATATTTTGTAAACTCAGCGGTTTATGAGTATTATAAGAAACAAAATTTTAAATGGCCGCCATTTTGTTTTATGAATTTAAAAAATGTTCATAATTTTTTTGTAGCTTTTTCTAGTTGTCATAAATGTTTTTGCAAAGTTTCAATTTTTTATCTCTTACCATTTTTTAGAAAACAATAAGTGAAAAAAACAAAATGGCGGCTGTGTGAGTAACTAAGGACTTCCGGTCAATTTAAATATGATATTTGGATTTGTTTCATACCCAGGAACAATACCCTAAAATATCCGACACGAATTCTGAAACACCCTGTATATATATATACAAAATGAAAAAGTAAATCGGTCCCGAGTCCAGGTCTTACCATGAGACCTACGGTAATAGCTTATTCCCCTATATGGGAAATTCGCTAAAATTTATAAGATAAAAATCGAAAAAAGGTTTACCGGTACTATTAAAAAATAAGTTCTGTTCATTAATAAAATTATAAATGCATCAAATTCTAAGTTAAGAAGTAGTCGCATTGGCCCCGGCTGGTTTCGAACTGGATACCTCCTGAAAAACTAGTCCGAAACGCTACCAACTATGCCACGACCGCCACTGGAATCACTTCGTCTCGTTACGGTCATCGTGTTGCCTCAAGAGAAGACATTAGCCACTATAGATATGACGTCACCACACCTTTAGCCATCGTCCCTCATGTAATGAAATGAAATGAAATGAAATCAACTTTATTCATACTTTGCAAACATGTGCACGAATGGCGTCATTACATTGGATCAAAATCATAATGTTTAATCCTAAAAAAGTACAAAAGATATAATCACTATTGAAAAAGTTCTTATTCTAATATATTATGTAAGAGGAAAAATTCGTTCTTTGAATAAAGGGGATTGGTTAAAAAGTACATTTTTAGATTATTTTTAAATTTTGTAGTCCTTGTGTAGTCCTTTAGTTTTGTTGGAAGAGCATTGTAACATTTTATACCCATATACATTGGTTTTTTTTTTCAAAAAATCTTAATCTATGTGAAGGTGTTGCATAGTTATTTCTGTTTCTGGTACAATATTGATGAGAATCCCCTACCAGTGAGACATTATTTGAATTTTTGACAGTATATAGTACACATTGATAGATATAATAGCTATATACAGTCATTATGCCTAGTTCTTCAAATTTTTCCCTAACAGAATCTTGCCAATCCAAATTTAACATAATGCGTATTGCTCTTTTCTGGAGAATTAAAATTCTGTCTAAATTAGCTTGTGATGTTCCTCCATAAATACTTATACCAAAGGATAAATGTGAGTGAATATGAGCAAAATAAACCGATTTTAGGGATTCAAGTTTACAAAATTTTGATAATTGATAAAGTGCAAATAGGCCTGTTGACATTCGATTTGCCACATGATCAATATGATCATTCCAGCTTAATTTACTGTCTATGTATAATCCTAGAAATTTAGTGTTCTCAACAATTTGTATATCTTCACCGGCTAATTTTAGTGCTGGGTAATCTGAATTGGTATTAGTTTTTAGATTAAAGCGTGTAAAATTAGTTTTGGAAAGATTTAGTAATAGCTGATGATCTGAAAAAAGTTATTGATGTTCATCAAGTTATCGATGGCAGATTTTTCTATCTCATGAACAGATTTTCCGCTTACAAGAAGATTAGAATCATCGGCATATAAACAGATGGTATTCATTGTTGAATTTGAAATAACATTGGGTAATCCATTGATATATGTAAGAAATAGTAGAGGACCCAAAATAGAACCCTGTGGTACACCATGTTTAATTGTTCTCAACTGCGATCTTGTTTTAACCATCTGGTTATGATTGTTTAAGTGTGTAATTTCTACGAACTGTTTCCTATTAGTTAAATATGATTGAAACCATTTTAGTGAAATTCCTACAACCCCTAGTCCTTCAAATTTTTTTAACAATTTATGATGAGATACACTGTCAAATGCTTTGCTTAGGTCCATAAATATTCCAATTACTTTATCTCCCCTATCTACAGAATCAATTATTGACTCAATATATGTAGCAGCCGCTGATATTACAGAATGATTTGATCTAAAACCGTGCTGCTCTTTATCGAGTAGATCATTACTTTCTAAAAAGTTAACAAGCTGATTATACATAGCTTTTTCATAAATTTTAGACATGACAGGTAACAAGGCTACTGGGCGATAGTTTGAAACATCTAATTGGTCCCCTTTTTTATAAAGAGGTTTTACTTTAGAAATTTTTAATTTATCTGGAAATATGCCGGATATAAATGATGAATTTACTAAGTGTGCAAATGGTTTTTTAAGTGAACTCTGGGCATGCTTTATTACTGTTATGGGAACATCGTCGAAGCCTGATGATAGTTTATTATCAAATATGGAAATTATTTTACTGATATCTGTCTCACTGATTGGTTCACATCTAAATTAATTTTTTTGGTTATTTATTACTAAATTAGGTACTGAAAAATTGGGTGTATTTATTTTTGGAATTACATCAGAATCAACTACATTGACATAAAAATCATTAAAAGTGTTACATATAACCGTAGGGTCATTATATACTTTTGAATTTACCTCTATTTCATCTATGCTCTTCACAACTTTTTTTTTGTTTTTTATATTTAAATTAATTAAATTCCAAGTTGTCTTGGACACATTCCCTGATCTCAAAATTTTTCCATCCATATAACTTTGTTTGGCTTTGAAAATATTTTTTTTTTAATGCTTTGTTCATTTCTTTAGCTGAATTCACTAAAGATTCATTTTTTGTTATCCTCCCTAATGTGCTTTTTTTCTATAATTTTTTTCCTCTCGGTTTCTAGCTCATGATTATTCCAAGGGACTTTTTGATCAGTATCTCTACATTTAGTAATAGGAAAGCATATATCAAAGTAATACATAAAAATACTGTTGAAGATGTTAAATTTCAACTCTACTGGTGCAAAGTAGACCTCCTCCCAACCCTCCTGACTCAGCATATTTGAGAATTTTTTAAGATTTTGGTTAGAAAATATTCTTACTGATTTGGTTTGGGCAATGTATGCCCATTGCCCATTCGTGACACGGTGTAGTGCTTCCCCATTCTCCCAAGGCAGTGGCTATTCGCACGGTGCGAATAATCGCATGTCAGAATAGTCACTTCGTTCTCCCCACACTAATTTGTTGACTCCAGTCAAGACTGGCACCAAACAGCTTTTGTCTTGTTCTTCACATTGGGCGAGTCGGCTTTTCAACACTTTAAAATCTCTAGTGAATGTTGAGAGGAGAGGACTTCATATGAAGAAGAGTGTCATCTATAATATAACAATGTTTAAGATGTTGTAGTGTATGGTAATTTATGAGCATCATACACGTTCCCAACTTACCGTCACACTCCTCTGTAACTAAAGGATGAAACGAAAAAGAAAAAATGAAATGAAAAATTGATTTATAATTCATATTGTTTCGGTAACTAACTCCAGTCCGCGGCCTAGTTTGAAGTGGCAACTATATTGACTCCGCTTGAAAATGTACAGATATAGATTTTAATTAATATTGTTTCGGTTTTCAATTCTGTATGTTTTATTTTCAATATTTTAATAAATTTATGTTTATAAATTTAAATCAATAAAGTACGAATTAATGAGCTGATGTCACCTGTCTGCCATGTTATCTTATGGGACGTAATGTCACTGAACAACACCACTACTTGCGACGTTGCCAATTCTACCAGGCCGCGTCCTGTAGTTAAAGGCGGCCGTGCCGTGCTCCAGTCCAGTCCACCAGTCTCCTCAGTCCATTTCCGTCGCCCTGTCTCCTATCTGTACGTCGTCGTCGGTCGTCCCCGTTCGTCTCCTTCCAATCCAAGCTCCTTCACTCCGTCCGTCAGTGTCAGTCTGTCCTGTCAGTGTCAGTGTCAGTGTAAGTCCGTTCCGTTTTCCGTTTGGTCTATCTTTATTACGAGGTGTTTTGTTTTGTGTTGTTCCCACTGACCTACAATAATAACGTTGTTCCATGTTCAATTTAATTATTTAAATAATAATGTTAGTGTTTGATTTAGCATGAAGATTTTAGGTGCATATTTACTATTTTTGTTAAATATACAAAAATAGCCTAGGAAAAGCTTAATCAAGAGAACTAGCCTAAGTTAGGCCTAGATCCAAGGCCTTTTTTAACTAGCCTACCTAAGTAGCCTAGGCCTTATCCCAGTGTGTCATTGATAGGCCTATCTCATATTTTTTGCAAGGTCTAACTAGGCCTAGCTTAGTATGGCATTTCAGACTCAAACTGCAAGAGGTAAGTTTTTTTTTCGGGGTAGACTTCCGTAAGTATCTGTTGTCAAAAACAACCGAATGAAATATCAATAACCTAACCATACGATATATCGAATGAAATAATCGATAACTTATTAGTTTATTAAATAATTTTTCATTCAGTTGTTTTTGACAACAGATACGGAAGTGTACCCCTTTTTAGCTGTAAGTTGAAATAGGCCTACCCTAACTAAATTAGGCCTAATTTAAATATCTATCTATATATTAATAGGCAAGCATGTTTCTTTAAACCCTTTTGGTAATTATTTGGACGTAGTGACTACTCGCAAAAGTGAAATTTTCTTTTTTCATAATGACCTAAATTTCACGCTGAATCCGAAAATGACGTTTTTATTTTTTGGAAAATACCGGAAATTCCCGAAAAAAGGGAAAAACGGGGAAATTTTTTTTTTACTCAAAATACGTCATGTGGGTACTCAAAATACGCGGAATATTGTGTAAATTAACCCTCCGAGTGTCCATAGTTTAGGCCTTAATGTCCACCTATTTTTGGCCCCTTTGCAAGGTTTTATTAAAACGGATCTGAGAAGCTTAAAACAATGTCAATTCTAATGTTCTATATACCATTTTGTTTGGAAAATCATGGGCTTCAATATTATATATAAAACATAAGGAAAATTTTTTCAAAAAAAAAATTTTTAGGTAAAAAAAAAATATAATTTCGAAAATTTTCAAAAAAAAAATAAGTTCGCGCTCAATGAAATTGTATAAATTATAGGCCTATAAATATTTGAAAATAGCCACTTTGTTCTAAATTTAATGAGGATTACAAATATATAATCATATAGCGAGGTAAGTTATCAAATAAATAAGTTATGAGCGAAAAACGGATTTCAGTACATAGCGTTTAGCTAAGAATGCATAGCCTAACCATAGCTAGGAATCTGGCTGATAATTTACATCAATATCACTACCTACTTCTTCAGGATCATCAACCAGCACTTCAAAACCACTTAAATCTTCTTATAATGCACCACGTATATCACTACTTTTGATTTTTAACACTAAAACAATGATAAACGTAATAAAACACATCAGTCATCGGTCCGGGGGAACCTAGCTGTTTACAAATAAACGCACGTCAGCTGTCTGCTACAATATTTTCGGAACTAAAATGAATAGCGCTTAGAGACAGACCTCTGGAGAAAGCTTAGAATATTACGGAAAGAACGATACCTAACTCGATCCAGTTCAATCCGATTCAGTCAGTCATAGAGCCTTCGCCGTAAACGATGTTTGTGCGTCATAAAAGTGACGCATGACCCTACACAAAGTGTGTTGTGCGTCATTTTTATGACGCGTGACACTCGGAGGGTTAAGAATATGCAAGAATTTTTTTGATCCGATGAAAAACACCGGAGATAGGGCGAAAAAACTGAATAATCGGTTAGGTTAGGCTTGGTAAGGTTACGTTAGGTTTGTTTAGGTTCGGTTAGGTTAGGTTAGGTTAGTATAGGTTAAGTTTGTTAAGGTTAGGTTAGGTAAGGTTAGGTTTGGTTAGGTTCGGTTAGGTTCGGTTAGGTTAGGTTAGGTTTGGTTAGGTTCGGTTTGAATAGTTAAGGTTAAGTTTGGTTAGGTTAGTTTATCAATAACATGAGTATTGTAAGTAAACTAACCTAACCTAACCAAACCTAACCAAACAAAACCTAACCTAACCAAACCTAACCTAACCAAACCAAACCCAACCTAACCAAACCAAACCTAACCTAACCTAACCTGACCAAATCTAAACTAACCTAACCTAACCAAATCCAAACTAACCTAACCAAACCTAACCTTACCTAACTTAACCTAGCCTAACCTAACCAAACCTAACCTAACCTTAACAAACTTAACCTATACTAACCTATAACCGAACCTAACCTAAACAAACCTAACCTAACCTTACCAAGCCTAACCTAACCGATTATTCAGTTTTTTCGCCCTATCTCCGGTGTTTTTCATCGGATCAATTTTTGCATATTCTTAATTTACACAATATTCCGCGTATTTTGAGTACCCACATGACGTATTTTGAGTAAAATAAAAATTCCCCGTTTTCCCTTTTTTCGGGAATTTCCGGTATTTTCCGAAAAATAAAAACGTCATTTTCGGATTCAGCGTGAAATTTAGGTCATTATGAAAAAAGAAAATTTCACTTTTGCGAGTAGTCACTACGTCCAAATAATTACCAACCTTTTTTCTCAGCTATTGTGCATTGCAGGGAAAATTTACGCATAAGTACTGTTGGAAAGATATTTACCTGTAAGTTAGATGTGCAGAATCCCTTTATATAGGTTAAAGAATCCCTAAATTAAAATAGGTTCAAAAATAAGCACAAAAATGAATTTAAAATATATTGAAAAAATTAACATGGATCTTATGAGTTGCCATGCTGGTGACGAAATATAAACAGAAAATCAAAACAAATGGAAGAAATTCCAATCACATGTTTTATTCACAGTGTGGGATGAAAATGAAGAAGTCTGTACATTAAATATTTTTGGTCAAGCTTCGACCACTGGACGACCTCTAGTTTTAACTTAGTAGGTCCATCGTTTCCTTAGATTTTGTGAGGGTTTTCACAGTAAATATAAGTTAGCCTATTCTGGGCAATGGCTGTGTTGTTAAGGCTGTTTTAATGCCAGGTTCCCATGGGACATGAGTTTTCTCCTGTCAGCTCGCTTAGCCTACTTGAGCCTCGCCCTGTGGTGGGGTTCAAAGATCAATCTATATAAATAATAAATATATGTGGACGGCTGTTCAATAAGTTGAGACAACAATGGCAGAGTACAGGCCTATTGTTGAGGGTTGTGTAGGTAGTGGTTAGTTCTGTGATAAGTCACATTAACCGAAAAAAAGTTTCCTTGTTTTCATTAGGGTAAGTAATACTAAGTTGTTATTTAGCCTAAGTCCAGTATCACATTTAAATTTTTGAGCGAAGCTCTTATACGTCGACTCTTATGCATTTCGTAATACGCAAACTCCTCCTAGACGGCTGAATCAATCGTTTTCAAATTTTGCATGGCAATAAAGACCATATCGGTGAGTGCCAACATCTATATGACGTTGAAAAAGTCTCTCAGGAATCCGCCCCACTGGGTCTCAAAGTTTCAATGTAATCCTTATGGAAGCAGTATTTGTCACATAAACAAAGACATATGATCAGCTGTTGACTTTTAAATGCAGTAGATAAATAAATAGCTGATAAGCATTATTTCACAGATATTAGAACTGAAACGGTATGGATTATAAATATAATCAACACTAGCTTGAGGTCCGTGACGTAGGAAGAGGTGAAGGAAGTAGTAAAGGTGAGCAGTCTGGAGTGTGGAAACTGTTTATGACGATTAGATTAAGATATCTGCAATCCTAAAATGCTATTGGAAGGGAAGGAAAAAGGTCCGCGACGTAGGAAATGGTGAAGGAAGTAGTGAAGGCGAGCTGTTCGAGGTGTGGGACCTGTTTGTGACCATTAGATTCAGGTATTTACAGTCCTGTGATGCTATGGGAAGGGAGGGAAACAGGTCCTTGACGTAGGAAGTGGTGAAGGAAGTAGTAAATTCAAGCAGTCCGGACTGTGGGAACTGTTTGTGACGATTAGATTAAGGTATCTACAATCCTAAAATGGCATGGGAAGGGAGGAAAACGGGTCTGCGATGTAGAAAGTGGTGGATGAAGTAGTCAAGGCGAGCTGTCCGGAGTTTGGGAACTGTTTTTGACGAAAAGATTAAGGTATCTACAATTCCTAAAATGGTATGGGAAGGGAGGAAAACAGGTCTGCGATGTAGAAAGTGGTGGATGAAGTAGTCAAGGCGAGCTGTCCGAAGTTTAGGAACTGTTTTTGACAATTAGATTAAGGTATCTGCAATCCTAAAATGCTATGGAAAGGGAGGGAAAGAGGTCCGTGACGTAGGAAGTGGTAAAGGAAGTAGGCTACAGGGTGGCGCAGAGAAACGGAAAATTTTGAAATAATCATAATATGCCAAGAAAATTTTACAAAAAAATCTTTAATGCTGAAAATGTATTGGCCAAGTGTGGAAAATACATAAGAAATGTTTGAAATAGGAATAAAAGTTAAAAATCGCATTTTAAAAATCCCATCAATTAAGGGCTGTCTTTTGGGCGTATTCGTTCAATCGATTTTGAAGACTTAACATTGTGAAACGCAATGTGTCCTCTGGGATGTTGGAAACGTGTTCTTCAATCTGAGTCTTGAGCTCAATAAGATTTCTTGGTCTAGTCAGGTACACAACGCTCATTAGATGTCCACATAAAAAGAAGTCGCGCACTGAGATTTCTGGAGACTATGGACGTTAACGTTCCTTAAAATGATGCGCTCTCCAAACAAACGTCCCCATGCAGCCATTGACAGATTAGCAGTGTGTGAGGGTTTCTTGTGTGGTCTTGTTGAAACCAGGTTTGCTGAATTTCAATATCTGGAAAAGCATGAAGCCGTGGAGAAAAAAAATGTCTCCAGCATATGAATGTAACGTTGTGACAGTTACAGTAGAACCATCTTCATCCTCAAAAAAGTAAGGTCCAATCACACCAAGACAAGACATTGCATACCATACAGTAACTTTGGAACTGTGTAACGGACGTTGATGAAGTTCAGTGGATTTCGTTCAGCGCAGTAAAGCATGTTCTGCTTATTGACATGTCCATTTAAATGAAAATGATAGACATCCAAACATTTGCAGCTGTTGTACTGTCACCATTTTTGTAGTACGCTCTCACGGCGACTGCACGCTCCGCACCACTCCACTGTTCCATCTCAACTAAATGTCCATTACTACTTGGTGTCATGACTTCAGTTTCTTATTCCTACAAGACATACAGGTGTACCAACAACGACTTCAAAATTTCCCGTTTCTCTGCGCCACCCTGTAGTAAAGGCAAGCAGTCCGGACTGTGGGAACTGTTTGTGACGATTATATTAAGGTATTTGCAATCCTATGATGCTATGGGAGGGGAGGGAAACTGGTCCGTGACGTAGGAATTTGGGAAGGAAGTAGTAAAGGCAAGCAGTCCGGACTGTGGGAACTGTTTGTGACGATTAGATTAGGGTATCTGCAATCCTAAAATGCCATGGGAAGGGAGGAAAACAGGTCCGCGACAAAGGAAGTGGTGAAGGAAGTAGTCAAGGCGAGCTGTCCGGAGTGTGGAAACTGTTTATGACGATTAGATTAAGGTATCTACAATCCTAAAATGCTATGGGAAGGGAGGAAAATAGGTCTGCGATGTAGGAAGTGGTGGAGGAAGTAGTCAAGGCGAGCTGTCCGGAGTGTGGGAACTGGTTATGACGATTAGATTAAGGTATCTGCAATCCTAAAATGCTAAGGAAAGGGAGGAACACAGGTCAGCGATGTAGGAAGTGGTGAAGGAAGTAGTAAAGGCGTGTTGTTTGGAGTGTGGGATCTGTTTATGACGATTATATTAAGGTATCTACAATCCTAAAATGCTATGGGAAGAGAGGGAAACAGGTCCGCGACGTAGGAAGAGGAGAAAGAAGTAGTAAGGTGAGCAGTGTGGAGTGTAGGAACTGGAAACCGTTTGTAGCAGTTTCAATGTATCTGCAATGCTGAAATGCTATGAGAAGGGATTGAAGCATGCCCACCACATAGGAAATGGTGAAAGAAGTAGTAAAGGCTAGATGTACGAAGTGAGGGAATGTTTGTGGCAATTAGATTAACGTATCTAAAATACTAAAATGCTATGGAAAGTGATGAATACAGGTCCACGACGTAGGAAGTGGCTTAGGAAGTGGTAAAGTATGAGCATAGTGTGAGATCCGTCTGTGGCAGTTATATTAATGTATCTTCAATCCTAAAATGCTATGAGAAGGGAAGGAAACAGGCCCCACGACGTAGGAAGTGGTGAAGGAAGTAGTAAAGGCTGGCAGTGCATAGTGGGGGAACCGTTTGTGCAGTTTGATAAATGTATCTGTAATACTTAAATGCTATGAGAAAGGAAGGAAACAGGTCTATGACGTAGGAAATGGTGAAGGAAGTAGTAAGGCTAGCAGTGCAGAGTGTGGGAACTGTGTTTGGCAATTACATTAAATGTATATGCAATCCTAAAATGCTATGGGAAGAGAGGGAAACAGGTCCACGACGTAGGGGGTGGTGAAGGAAGTAGCACCTTTAGTGAGCAGTGTTGAGTGTAAGAATGGATTAATGTATCTGCAATGCTAAAATGCTATGGGAAGAGTCTGTAGACTGTATGTTAAAATGATTACGAAGCACGAATCGATACATATTTCGATACGTAATCAATAGTTTACAATAGAAATTTACAACTGAGTTGACAACAGCTGAGTTTTACTCCATAGAGGCTAAAAACGAATTTTATTCCCTAAAGAGTAAAAATGCTACTTTAGACCCGCAAAGCATGCACCAATGACGACTGTTTTTACTGCAGTATGACAAAAACAATATAACTTAATATGAACCCTTGATGACTCCGCTCAATTTTGTGGATGCCTCTGCGAACGCCACCTAGTATTAAGCCATATGTTAATTATTTATTTACATTGTTCATACAATAATATTTTACTTCCCAGTTATGAATAAACAGTTATGCAAGTTACAAGTGCTTGTATTTATTAGATATCAACCAAGTAAAATCAAACAACCAAAAACAATAAATTATTTTTAGATCTCAATATGAAAACAACAATAAAAGTCCTTTGTAGTCTAACTTACCTGCCACTATCAGCTGCATGTGACCCTGACCTATAGTCCGTCCGTTTGGCTATGATACCCAGCAGATTAGGGACTGTCTCGGAACTCAACTCACCCTCTCGACCCGTTCGTCGGGCTGGCCGGAGACAAACAGTGACTCACCCACTGTCACAGTCCCACATATCTGTAACTTTTTTTGTTTTAAGTTAAAATACATTTTTCTTTATACACTTGAGTTCTACACGAAATTCCAAAAATAATGAGCCCAAACACGATGTGGATACTTGATCTGAAAGTATTACAATTACTCTGTATCGTCACCAGCTTTGCCCGACTTTCAGATCGTAGATATTAAGTATCCACATCGTGTTTGGACTCATTATTCTTGGAATTTCATGTAGAACTCAAATATACAAAGAACAATTTAATTTTAACTTAAAATAAACAAAAAGTTACAGATCTGTGGTAAGGTAGGTAAACATTATATCAACGGCCAGCCTGGCGAGCGGGTCTGAAGGGTGAGTCGAGTTCCGAGAAGGTTCCTAATCCGCTGGGTAACATAGCCAAACGGACGGACTATAGTCCAATGCCCTTGACCAGACTGCAGGCTCTAAACTTCCAGTCTTATCAGGTTTTCACTTATCAGTTCTCAGAAGTGCATACTATCCTAACATTTGAGTTTATTTATTGATGGTTAAAAGGTAAATTAGTTTATAAACTATTGCAGCACAAAGTGTATACTACGCTATATAACTTTTTTTACTAGAATTTGGGAATAAAATGACTTTTTTATGTTTTCAAAAGAGAACACTTTTACAGGTTTGTTAACTATCCACCATCTTGATGTCGGAAATACTTTGTTATGTTCCAGAAAATAGAAAAATTCTTCTAGAAGATTTACAATTGAAGAAGCTGCAGCTTTTAAAGCAAGGAGTTGTACCTTTAACATCAACCCCATTAGCCATCTCTTCAGTACCAGGAAATGTAAGGCAAATCTTACCGTGTAAGGCAAAAAGTAAAACCTAACAACTCACCATGAAGCATAAACCTAAAAGCACAACCTAACTTAATAATAGTAATCCTTATTTAAAAATTCCAGATTCAAGATTTTTTTATTCCAACATATTTTTTACAAAACAATCTTAATAATAACATGTATTACAAAGCATTTCTAAATTAACATAATTAAATTTTAAAAACTAAAACTAATTTTACTCATAAACCGAATTAAATTTTCATGTTTATTGTCAAACCTTGTAATTATTCAAGCTGCACCTAAGGTATCTTTGACTTTTGATACAACTAGACATTCCATCCCCGATCCCCATGTTAAATTTGTCGCCATTTTTATCAATAGTGTCATAGTTGATGTGAGCCACCGACAGATTTTGCTGATATACCTAAATTACCTATTTTGCTTGAATACACACAGTTTTTTATCAAGTCAAACTAATGGAATGACTTATTGTGAGCTATATCAAAAGTTATGACCCATAAGCTTGGTAAGCAACAAAAATTAAGGCAGAACATTGAATTTTAGACATTACTGCAGCACATTCTGTGACTGGCTTACACAACTAACTTGCGTTCTTTTCAGTAAAAAAATTGGCAACAGCTGGTCCATATAGATGGAATGTCTACTTCAGTATCCAATAGTCAGTGACTATCCATAGTCAACATTCCTATTTAACCAAGTCCATCACATACTAACTTAACATATATTTCTCAAATTTCATCTACGATTGTGTTTCAGGCACCAAGCCCAGGATCTGAACACTTGTCTTCGGTCCAACGAGGAGCTGTTATACAAGCACAAGCGTCCTTCGGGTTTTTTGTCCCTCAAGACTCTCTGTTCGGCAACGTGATTCTCCCAGTACTTCCACGTTACGACATCAAACCGTGAGAATGGCGAGGATGAAGTTGAAGAAGCTAGAGCAATATTTGCAACAGGTTGAAGTGTTTGAGGACCCCAAGATCCACCTTGAGCAGTATGCTACTAGTCCACACTTGGCGGCTTGTATGCTCTACACTATACAAACTAGCTTTGGAGACTTGGAGGGAAAGGTAAAATATGTGGTTTCTTAGATTCAATGGAACATCATAATTCTTTGTAACTGGTGTAATAAATCACAGTTACCGGTACCGTACATAATTTGTGGCAGAAATGTTTAATCTTGTATAAATTTTGAAAGCATCAAGAACCATTGTAATTGAGGATTGCTCAGGAAAAAAAGACCACTTTAAGTTTATACTTGAATAGTTATAGGAAATAAGCTATTTAACTGTAGATCTCATAGTAAGGCCTACACCCTGGACGTTTTTTTTTTTTTGTTTTTGTTATGATAGCCTATCCCGAGATGAGATGATGACTTCAATGAAATTATTTGGTAAAAACGCATAAACCGTTGTTTCATTTTTACGTACTCAAATGAGTACCTGAACCAGCATAATAGGACTGCGGGAACAGGTTTTACAGGGTAAAAATTAGTGTTTCTCATATTTGACCCCAAAAAATAACATTTTGAAACTTTCTAATTAATTTTGTAATCATTCCCCATTTAATATGTAACGTTTAGCCTACTTAAGTTTGCTACTACAGGGTAAAGAAAAAAGTGTATTCTGATCAAAATGTTATAGTATAGTATAAAACTAATTAATTTTCCAAATTTGATAAAAACATATCCATAACCTAACAAATCATGTCAAATATTCATGTAATAACAACAGTCTACTTTTTATCCATAAGAATAATACAGGGATTTTAAATTTTTAAAATCTGGGAATTTTCTCCCTAACCATTAAGCATACAACACTGTGTTTTCCCTGTTGTTTCTCTTGTCTACACCATTGGCATTTGTTAGATGAGATGAGAGAGAATGATATTAAAACACTTTTTGGGAAAAGCGGTCCAAACCCATAGGCCTATATGCTTTGTGGGCATGCTGGGAATCGAATCCGTCCCTCCCGCACCGAAGTCAGACGCTAACCACTAGGCTAGAAACACACCTTATGCAATGAAAAAGTTATTGCAAGATAATGAAAGTACAGTACTGTAGTTGAATTGACACTCTTATCAGAATATGGTCCAGTGTGTTCTATCAATTACTTCTAATTTATTGTATTCACCGATTTTAAAACCATGCCAAACTAAAAGGACAATTTAATATATAACATATTCTATGTCACATAAAAGATCTTAACAGAAGTTAAGAGAGAAAAATATAAACTGACTTAGTGGTTATAGTGCTCCCACTAACAATCAAAAGGTTGCCGGATCGATCCTGAGAAAAGTCAGTAGCTTTTTGATGGTTCAAAACTGGACCCAGCTGTTCCTGAGCATTGGGCTTTAAATAAAGATCCTGACTAATGAAACAGCTGATATTAGTCAGTAACAAAGCTACACTGATCATCAGACTCTATACTACACTCATCCTTTTCTCATATTTGGGTTAAAATACACACATAGGGGGGCATCTGCATCTCAATAATTGATAGTTAATTGATATTTTTTTCATTAGTGAGCTCAATCCTCAAGTAGGTCCTGTTGTGGCTCATTCGACTATTTGTATGGAAAATTGACTACAGCTGGTCCTTTTAGATGGCATTGAAAAATTGACTACAGCTGGTCCTTTTAGATGGGATTGGAAAATTGACTACAGCTGGTCCTTTTAGATGGGATTGGAAAATTGACTACAGCTGGTCCTTTTAGATGGGATTGGAAAATTGACTACAGCTGGTCCTTTTAGATGGGATTGGAAAATTGACTACAGCTGGTCCTTTTAGATGGGATTGGAAAATTGACTACAGCTGGTCCTTTTAGATGGGATGTCTACTCTAGTATCTACAATGTTTGTTTAAGTTTAAACTAGCCTACCATATTTGATGTTTCAGGTAGTGGCAGACCTGGGTTGTGGCTGTGGTATGTTGACATTTGGCTCAGTTCTGCTCGGAGCCGGCTCATGCATCGGTTTCGACATTGACCATGAAGCTCTTGATATATTTAGCGAGAACCGCGAAGATCTAGGAGTGGACGATTGTGATAGTGTTTTGTGTGACGTGTGTAAGCTCGATGATAGGTGGAACAATTTCTTTGACACTGTTGTCATGAACCCACCCTTTGGAACGAGGCAGAAGGGCATTGACTTGGACTTTGTTAAGGTAGGACTTAGGCTGGCAAACACGGCTGTGTATTCACTTCATAAAACATCGACTAGAGAACACATTTTGAGTAAAGCTAAAGCGTGGGGGGTCGAGGCTAAGGTGGTGGCTGAACTGAAATTTGACTTGCCTCAGACTTATAAGTTTCACACCAAAAGTTCTGTTGATATAGAAGTGGACTTGATTAGGTTTTGGTTCAGCAAACCTAAACAGATGTGTGAGTTTATGAAGCAGTAGGGAATATTTTGTAATGTTTTAACTGTATCAATAAAGGTATAACTTTTTTTAAATACCTACCCATGTGAATTAATCAAAACCTTAATGTTTGGTGTTTAATTTCTTTAAACTATATCATACTTACTTTAGTAGAGAAATATTATTGGTGATTGAGTGTAAATCTTTTTAAAATAATTATTACAAACTCTTCCTACCATTATTAGTTTAATGAAACGGATATTCACAATGTCTTAGGATAAATTCAAGGAAGATTTCAGGTACACAATGTGACACTGTTTTGTGCTTTAATCTAGCATTACCTTTTGTTCTAAGAACAATCAAAGGGGATTAGATTCCAGACTTTGCAATAGTAATTTGCTCACTTTTTCAGTTCTAAAAAGTTTTTATTTGAAGATAAGTTACAGGCCTAATGATTCTATTTGAAAACTAGAGTTAGGATACTGAAACTGCGATACATCATTTTCACTTTTCATCTACAAAGATGCGAAGGTAACTTATTTCAAAATTAATATGTTTTAACTTTATTGTTGTTACCAAATCTATTTACTTTTCTTCCTTCAAATAACCTGTTTGTGATACTAAAGCCTTAAATAAAAATTTTTGTTGACATACTATCCATAAAAGATTGTTAATGATAAAACATTCTAAACATTATAAATACTCCTGTTTGTGCATTTTCTAGGTGATTGTGTGGACTCCCATTTCTTTTAAATACCTTTTGGGTATTTACCTACGAAATATTCACATCCACATAGAACATTTTATATTTCATTAATTCCTACTTACTTAGGATTCTCTACTTGAATGTAGCCTTTAGAAACCAAGTTGGGTTTTGGCTTTACCAAGACTGCCTCCACTTTCTTCAGTCTCCTGCTACTTCCATAGCCATGCCAAGATTTCTCAGGTCTTTCTTCACTTTGTCCTTCCAACACAGATTGTGTCTTCTTTCATTCCACTTGGCCTTCAGATATAAAAGTGTACACTAGAACCACGGGGGTTACACAGACAATTATTTACATAATATCATTTACAATAACATGATTGACAACGTTAAGGAAAAAAGAAACATGAATTCCATTTGTATAAAATATTCTATTTACAATAATTAGCACTAACAGCAACTTAACACTAATTTAATCACATAAATAAAACTAAACCTATAATACAAAGCTTGAGACTGGAATGACTGGGGTACTTAATCAGCTAAGTCAGTATAGACATGTAAAATGACACTATGTGCATATGTACAAGGAGTGGCCTGATGCTACACTTGGTTAGGTCCCGGGGTCCCTAGCGGAGTGGCCCTCAACGATCGTAACTCCTCTTTCGTTACGTTGTTGGAACCCAAGCGCATGTCGATTGCGAAGATGGCCTGCAACAATTAAAAGAGGCCTTAGTAGCTCTTTTGCGGTCATCGAGTGTGGAGTAAGAAAACTTAAAAGTTACTTGGTACCATGATTCAAGATTGGTGAACAACTTTTATGATAACCTCTCTTTAGCGTTTTCATCCCACTGTGAAGCACGGGTATGGCGACTTGTATTTTTATAAAGTAAATCTATGTAAACAAACACTGCTGTAATTTTGACTTGAGCTAGGTCATCACTGTTCAGTTAGGTACTCAAGAAACAATATTTTGAATATAATACAATATGCATCTTGTATATTTGGGGAAGTAAAGTTTTTGTATGCTATAGTACCTTCTACAAGACAAAGTTTATAGTCAAAGCCATTCTACATGACATTTATTCCTAGTAAAAACGTTGTATACAATAATAGATAATAGTCCATTTACCATACTGGTACTCGATAAAGTTTATTTTAACACCCATCTCTGTTGGAAAAAGCGGTAGCGTTAGTAATGCCTAAGATTAGCTCTCAGGTAAAAAAACCAACCATGAAAAGTGCCCAGATGGAGCCTATGGCGATGCCAGCGAGTACGTCAGTCGCGTGGTGCATGTTGTCCATGACTCTAGACAGGGCCGTGTACCAGGCCAACATCAGCAGCACAAACTGACTTAGGAGTCGGGACAGTCGAGCTCTCCTCCAGTACAGTCTGTGGTGGAGATACACCTGAAAGTAAAACTTATTAGAACTCTATTTAATGGAAGCTTCCAATACATGGTCTTGGCTAAAGAAGCAACCGATCTTAGTCACATTCAGGTCACGGCTATTTTCAGTTGTATCTGCAGACATGATGGGCCAGTCCGCAGTTTACCAGACTGCTTTAACTGTCTGGGTGTTCCTGACGACGCAGAAAACACATTCTTCCGCTGTCCAGCTCGGCATATGCTCCGCCTGGAGGACACTCTACATTGTAGGTATATGTTCATTGAATCGGTTTTTGAGGGCATAATGGATGATGAGGACAGCTTGGACTTCTGGTAGCACTTAGTCTAGAACATCCTCCTAGCTAAAAGAAAGACCTAGATAACATTGCAGTTTAGATATAAATGTGTAATAAGAAGCCAGACAAGCGTCTGAAGACTACACAAGGTTTTCAATAGGTTGTCTATGGGTCTTAAATCCATATGAGTCCCCACAGAGGAGTAAGGTATACAGAGAATACTTGCTTATGGACCAACCGTGTGCTTTCAGCTCTAATATGTAAGTTGTGCAGGAAATATGCTTGTGACGAGCAAGGAAGGTCCCTAGTGAGGAGCACTGTGTGGGTATTTCTATCACATCCACCATGAGCGTTGTATAGTACATGAGGGCGATTGGCTGTGTGTTATAGGTACCTAGCTACTGTATAAGTTTTCCTAAACATCAGCGTCTAGTGCTTGGGTGTACGATTAATGTTTTCTTTGTGAGTCTCACACTACAGGATTAGGTACCACCTTGAGTGTAAACACATTTCCCTAAAAAAGTATCTATTACTTATTTAATATGCAAGCAAGTTTTTTGTGACAATTACTCCTCCAAAACTACTGAACCGATTGACATGATTTTGGTGTCATTGGAAAGAGCGTAACTGAAGTTGTGCAGGAAACTTTCTTTTTAGCTAAATAATTAAAGAATGAGGCCCTGGGGCCCTTTAAAGTTTCAAATTTCTCCATAAGATTAACATGGGGAACAAACATTGTTATGAAACTCCAGCTGTTGTCAGAAATGCTGTTCTGCTATTTAATTTAATTTGTTTACAAGGAGAATTGTTTCTTGGTGACATGTGGTTAATGAATTATACTTTAGCATATATATTTTAAATGGTATACACTATATAAAATGATAGTATTGTAATACATTGAGAGATCTTCATTTGAATAATCAATAAGCACGATTGAGCCTTTGCCTACATGTTTCCTATTAAGTGTGTTGTAACTGTTTCTTATAGTATATTATAGTATCTCAAAGTAAACCCGAATTATTCTTTTCTGTATTCTCACCCCGTAGCGAAGCACGGGTATAGCAACTAGTATACAATTAATTGTTTTGGACAGTCTAAAAGCTGGAATTATCTTTCAAAAGATGAACAATATTGGCACATAGACATACTTATTTATCTATACCATCAACACACTTTATATAAGTAAAAGTAATGTAGATGCAACAATTAATAAAATGTCCTTCATTGATATGAATCTACAGGGTGTCTCAGACCACCCGGCCGGCTTGTATAGCTCCAATATGAAAGCAAATGGAAACCTAATTGCAACTGGAACCCCCTATTTTGACCCCAAGGAATTCAGCTAAATTATTTTCAACCCCAAAAAAGCACCCCAAAGGGCAGATTTTGGGGGGTGGGGGTGGTTTTTGGGAAATTTTCAAATGTAAAGGGGGGTCGTGTTATACCTCTTTTTAAAGGTCCTTTAGTCCTGAGTATTTTAGTGGAAAAAGATTTAAATTATCTTCATTCCTATTTACAGGGTGTTCAAAAACGTACAAAAAATAGACCTTTGAACTACTTTTCACTGTAAAGAGGTGGAATTTTGTGGGGGGTTCAAATTTTGATAACACTTTAATTAATAAATGAGCTTTCAAAAACTCTGGTTTCAACCCTTTTGCTATCTTTTTACTTACGTTACGCATTTTCAAACTTTTTGAAGTTTCAAAAGCTGTTATCTCAAAAATTTCAAATGGCAACATGCGTTTCATTACTAACCCCATTGTAGCCCTTGAAATTTGCTATAATTTTTGTATTTAATGTTTTTTGGTATCTTCATTGGTTAAAGAGATATAACGAAATTAGTGTATTTTAATGTTTTATTAAATGGTATTCAAAGTGTTTGCTGTTGTAAATGTACACTTCTAGGTCTCAATTAAAACTAATTATGTTAAAAAATTAAAATACTACCCAGATTGTTAAACTTGGAGGATTAATAAAGGAAAAAACACAACTGCAAATATTCTTAGTTATTTTACAATTACAAAGTTCTAATAGTGCTTTGAATGAATACTGTCTATAAATGCTACTGGTAAATAAAAAAATCATCATGAAATCAATGAGCGTGTGCATGCAACTGGTCACGTTTGATTAGATAAATCAAATTACAGTATAAGGAACTTACTGGATTTGTACGAGAGGTGAATGCACCTGCGGTAGTAAAACAGCAATACAGTACCATAATAGTGGAGAAGAAGTACTACATGCATAACAAAGTTGGGGTTTGCATGGAACAAAATGGAAGGCAATTTAAGCATTTGTAGAAGTCCATCAGTATGTAGGCTATTAATGCTGATTCAAACAAATTATTCATTCAAAGAACTATTAGAGCCATGGAATTGTTAAATAACTAAGAACATTTGCAGTTGTGTTCTTTCCTTTATCAATCTTCCAAGATCAACAATCTGAGTACTATTTTATTTTTTTAGACAAGATTTGTTTTAATTGAGACCTAGAGGTGTACATTTGCCACAGTAAACACTTTGAATACCATTTAATAAACCATTAAAATACACTAATTTCGTTATATCTCTTTAACCAATGAAGATACCAAAAAACATTAAATACAAAAATTATAGCAAATTTTAAGGGCTACAATGTGGTTTGTAATTAAACCCATGTTGCCATTTGAAATTTTTGAGATAACAGCTTTTGAAACTTCAAAAAGTTTGAAAATGCGTAACATAAGTAAAAAGATAGCAAAAGGGTTGAAACCAGAGTTTTTTGAAAGCTCATTTAGCAATTAAAGTGTTATCAAAATTTGAACCCCCCACAAAATTCCACTTCTTTACAGTGAAAAGTAGTTCAAAGGGCTATTTTTTGTACGTTTTTGAACACCCTGTAAATAGGGATGAAGATAATTTAAATCTTTTTCCACTAAAATACTCAGGACTAAAGGACCTTTAAAAAGAGGTATAACACGACCCCCCTTTACATTTGAAAATTTCCCAAAAACCACCCCCACCCCCCAAAATCTGCCCTTTGGGGTGCTTTTTTGGGGTTGAAAATAATTTAGCTGAATTCCTTGGGGTCAAAATAGGGGGTTCCAGTTGCAATTAGGTTTCCATTTGCTTTCATATTGGAGCTATACAAGCCGGCCGGGTGGTCTGAGACACCCTGTATAATATGAGTGAGGTGCCGTGAATAATATGATTTATATATCTACAAGTTCCAATTATTATTGTTGTCATTTAGCCGGTTATGTACTGACAATATATACATTCTGTTAGTTTTACATACTAGATGGATGACAATGTTCATAGTCATAATATTTTAATCAAACGTTGTATTTTGGATTTCCCTGGACAAAGTTTTAAGCATACACTTGTGGTCGGGTCGTATCCTATGTTCGTATTTGTGCTGTTTGCGTTTACACATCATCCCTGGTAAATGGCATGAAATTAAACAAAAAGATCAATCAACACAGTCCAACTGTTTTCGGGCCAGTGACGTCATTTGTTTATGTTTATGATCCATATAGTTTCTTTTCTAATATCACTGCAATCAATTGATCGAAGCAATTTCTTTACTGGTACTTATTTTAATACTTTTCATTGACTCGGTATTTTCTGACGCATATTTAAAATAAATTAACACATTTCACGAATAAATATATCAACAATAGATCCCATGCAAGTAATGAACTACGGGGAGGCCTCTATTTCAGTTCAGAACACACATAATTACTAGTTTCTAATTCTGGTAAATAATAATTGAATCTCAATTGAGTGATTAAGTATTTTCAAAATAACACTTTAAGAAAGCTGGCTTTAGACTTATTGAGTTATTTGCGATATCCCCGCCTGTTATTGCGATGGCGTGCTAAGTTATTGAACAGCTGTTGAAGCAGACAGCTGTTCAGTTCACAGATGCTCAGTTATTGCTTGTCGCAGGTCTGGAAAATGTTTCCGGCTCTATAGCATAGCATCTTGACACGGCTGTACAAATCATATGTTCAAAACGGAGGTTAGAGTCAAGTTAACCCTAACACGTATGTACTAAACTCAATAAGGCTGATTGATTGTTTTTCCAATGCCACACAGCTGACTTAAACAAATAAAGGGAGCAGTGGTAGATAGAACATAAACATTATGGTTGCTACAAAGTGACCATGAAAATTAGTTGCCATTGGTACTAATAAGCAGTTAACATCTATGTTTAATTAACGATAATGAAATTGCCATTAGTTAGAATAATATGCGTCTTTAAGGTAAGTTAGTAAGAGTTGTGATATGCCTATTTCTTCGTATAATATGCCGATACGTAATAAGATTGTTTTATCTTTTGACTTGAAAGCTAGGAAGGCTTTAAGAATAATTATACTTTTAGCTCAGCTTTTAATTATCTCAATTAAATCATAATATAGTTACAGTATCCTTGTATCACTATATAGCACTAAGTTGCCTAAAAAGTGTTCACCACTTAGGCCTACTTGAATTCAAGGAATATACTATCAATTATAAATGTTATGATAATTGAGTTTTGTGTTTAAAATCAATTATGTAACTACTTCATACTCTAAGTTTGAAAACCCTAACTTTCCAAAATCGCGTTTTCCCCCAGACCCCCATTGCAAAACGCAAAGCACGAGAAAATAGCTGTGTGTACCCGTCGTAAGAAGGACGGGACTCGTCCTACGCGTATTTATGACCGTACCATCTATTTTGGACGATTTTGAGATGTTAATTTT